ATATGGACTATATCCATATATATGTATATATATATACACACGAAACTGCGAGGCGATAAAAACCGAGATTATCGAATTTCAATAACACCTGCGCCGATCGATTTGAAAACAGGCTCAATTGATTATGCATACTCAAATTATATTATAAAATATATGTTTTACTCTACGTGCTTTATAAAATTATAATAATCCAAAATTATAATAATCCAGTTGCGCTGGCGACGCTGAGAAATGTCAGCTAGCCACGCATATGAATTTAACAGTTTTTTATAAGCAATCAGATTATTAGACTGCGCCGACGATACTAAGAAGTATGAGTTAGCGTCGCTGTGAATTTGACAGGTTTACATATTATATAAAATAACCATATTAAGCTTTTAACCTTAAAAAAAAATGTTAAAAGAGTAGTAAATAAATAAGTGTAGTAAATAAAATGCTGTCTTTGCTGATGGTAATCGCAGTTTTGACAAATCTGAAATATGAAAAGTAAGTTAAGACGTAACATAAAAGTAAAATATTCTGTAAATTTTGTCATATTATCAAACAATAGAAACATTTTACTATGACCCAAAACTCTTAAAGCCTTTCTTCGAGCTATTCTAAATCAGATTAATCAGACTAATCAGACTTTATCAATCTAGCTGTTAAATTAGCTTATTCATCTGTAATAACATTAGCAAAATTTCTACAAAATTAAATATTTTATCTGATTGCCAACATTAAACATTGTTATTTACTCTCAAAATGGATTCTCAATTACGAATATTAGTAACCTTGTGTGAGTGCGTGTTTCATTCTGTAAATTTATTTTGTGTTCGTATTTAGGTGTCCTGTCAATTACTGTCCGCAAATTACATCATCCCATTTTATTTCTTCTTTCTTGGAACGAAAAGTGGGCAGGTATATGTAAGATAATGTAAGAAAGAAATCCAATTTTATTACAATTGTAAGTTTAGTACTGGGAAATAAGATTCTCAGAAAGGAGGTCAATGCCGCTCTGCTTGTTGAGTGTCTTACTTTGTCTTTTTATAAAAATCGCTTACACACAAGTGGAAAATTATCATAGGTATTGTTAATAAAATATCATTGCTGTATCCAAGGTTATAGCAGCATAATTTTGAAACAACAGAGCAAACTCGAACTATGAGTTTGACTAGAACAAACTAATAATATTAAATAATAAACTCTCATATAAAAGATTGACTTCAGAAATACACTGAACTCCTCTATAAATCTTATCTTTCAGTATTAAACTTATGACTACAATTGTAATAAATTCGAATTTCCTACATATATCTTCCCACTCTCATCCTTTCAAAGAAAGAAGAAATAAAGTGAGTTAGTGTGATTTGGGAACTCAGTAGCTGACAGAACAGCAAAATATAAAGATGAAAAAGATTTACACAACAAAATGCGCACTTACAAAGCTAACATTTGTAATTGAGAATCCATTTCAGAGTAAGTCCATAACAATTTTTAATATTATTAATAATAAGCCAAACAATATGTTAAAAAGCGATATGATATAAATTAACGAACGGACAAGATATTTATTTTTTAGAAGTTTTGTTAACTAAGTTAATTAGTTGTTGTTACTAACTATTAGTTTGTTATTACAGATTAATAAACCAATTCAACAGTTAGATAAGAGATATGAGTAAAAGTTACACAATTTCTTGTAGAATTCCGTGTTTTTTAAAAAAGGCATATCTATAAAAAATTATCTATTTAAAAAAAGGTACAAAAAAGCGATTGTTAATACAGTGTATACACGTACAAAAGAATCTATAGAAAAAACTGTCATATATTTTATTTATTAAAAAAACTGTTGTATATTCTATTTGTATCACATTCTATAAAAAATATGGTATCAGAAAAAGATGCCAAGTGAGAATAAAAATTATATACATTATTACTACAAAATAGAAAATTGTTTTATATTTCATGTATAAGATATATTATTAAATTATTAAAAATTTGACGCCAATAGAATAGTTGCTGTACTGAATAACACATTAAAAGATACACCATTAAGATACAAAGAAATGTATCATAAATATTGTTACTAATTGTAGTAATGAAACTTACTCGAGCATTCTGTGTCCTGCCTGTCCCAACGAAGCAGATTGCGTAGATCGAACAAAACCGATTTGTGGCTTCCATTGGTTCCCATTATTCCGATTCATAGCTTCAAAATCTTGCGGTTTTAAGACGCGCGGAGGTTCCTTAGCTCCTTTTAATTTACGAGCAAGAAAAATATGATTGCAGCTGTATGTAGGATCCTTGTAACTAACACTAAAAATTGAGAAAGAAAGCAATTAGATATTTATAACGATATTATTTATAATTATTTCATAACACTAGATTTAGATAACACTATAGACATTAGATAGACAAACTTGAACATATTGTTTATAGTCTGGAAAAAATAGTTTTTCATAATTTTTTTATGGGCTGAATCTGAAATCAATCTCAGCAAGTATGTATCATATTGAGATTTTTAAAAAATCTGTAAAAATCAATTAATAAAAAACATGGCAAAAATAAGGATTTTAATCATATTTACAATAATATAATAAAAAAAGAAAATTTTTCAATAAGTATTACATCATCTTAAAATACTAATTTTTTTTTAATTAATAAGCTCATGACAAATACAGTCACAAAATTTTATATAGATAAAGCATAAAATGACAAATCAAAAAATCCGTCTATGCAAAAGGACATTAAAAAATTGTCTTCTTTTCCATTAGAAAATTGTCTTTTTTCAAAATTATATAAAATATATAAATGGATTTTAAATAAACTACTAAAGAATAAGATCTACTTGAAAAAGGGGTATTTAGTATTTTAAGGAAATTTACAGTTTTCTAATGTAATACGTTTTTCTTGAGAATTTTGGAAATCTAATTCAACACATAAAAACATTTTAAAAACTGTTTTTCTTTTCTAAGCAACAGACTTATGCAGAGCAGCATAACTATATTAATTTATAAAGATTTATATATATATAATCTAATTATATATATATA